GGTACTGTACAGGCAGGGACGTGTCGGGGGACTCCGGTCCATGAGGGAGGAACCCTGACTTCCCACGAGCTGTGTAGGCTGCACGTACTCTGGTGCTGCGATTCTGAGGCTTCTGAACTGTTTCCTCTTTAACTTGTTAAAGCTCATCGGAAAATTAGAAGACTTCCGTGACCTTTATTTGCAGCTTTCCACAGGAAGAGCTTGGCTTTCAGTGTTTCCCCCCACCCCCGTTAAAGACAAAAATATCCCTCTCCTGCTCTTAATGTTTTTAGTAGCAGAGATGAAACAGCACAGTAAGTCCTGTCCTCTGATTTCCAGGGTCTCCTTCAACAGACCTGCAGTGGGGTCTGGGGTTGCTCAGACCTTAACGGGAAAGATCAGAGGATTCAGTCTTTGATGTAACGTTTTATTGTCCCAAGTATTATTGAAGTGTTTGAGCTAAGCACTTATTAGAACAGTTCACAGTCTGAATCATAGAATCATAGAATGGTTTGGGTTGGAAGGGACCTTCAAAGGTCATCTAGTCCAACCCCTCTGCAGTGAGCAGGGACATCTTTACTAAACCCATCAAGCCTGACCTTGGATATCTCCAGGGATGGGGCCTCCACTACCTCTCTGGGCAACCTGTTCCAATGATCCACCACCCTCGTATTGAAGAACTTTTTCCTAATATCCAACCTAAATGTACCTTTTCTAGTTTCAAACCATGACCCCTTGTCCTATTGCTACATGACCTTGTGGACAGTTCTTCCCCAGCTTTCCTATGGGCACCTTTCAGGTAATGAAAAACCTCTCTCCTCATCATTGCCCAGTCTGTGTTTGCCTGATGTGTGAGTGGCTCAGTCTGTGTCTCCAAGTCTGCGTTCTTCTAGAACAAGCAAACAGATGAGCATATGAAATGGAAAAAAATGCAAACAGGGAAATGTTCTCTCCTGCAGGAAGAGAATGGACACCAAAGAATACAGAAGGCAGAAGGTCTTGCTAAGCACTTCTGTGGTGTGTTCCCTTTGGCCGTTGGACCCTTTGCTGGATGTTCTTGGCATGGTCCAAGCGTCAAACAAATGCTGTGCAATGGCCAGACAGAGCTGCTGGTCCTGGGTAAACATGCCAATGAAATGAGCGAAGAAAAACTGCTACAGGAAGCCCAGAGCTGTCTGAATACACAGAGAAGTGAGGCTGGCCTGGAGTTACAAAGACTGTGGTAACAACAAGAGAGGAAAAGTTCTCATTGTCCTACTGTGGGGTCACAGGTGGGTAATGTTTCCTGGCATGCCTATCCTCCAAGCCCCACAGTGCACATCTCTGGGCTCCATCATGGACCAAAATGTTCACCCGCTCCCCAAGTAATGCTCTGAGGGGTGTCTCCCTCTTCTTTTCCCAAGGCTTCTGCACTCATCTTCTCCCTTTCCCTTTTCCTGCTTTCTCTGGTGTGGAGACAATGTGGCACTTAGAAAACACTCGCAGTGGATTCCCATTCCTCCTGTTGCTCCTCTTCCTCCCATCGAAGGAGTCTGTCTCAGTACTGGGCTCTGTACTTCCTCTTCCCCAGGCTGGGTGGAGACCCTAGGCCAAGGCTGTTTCCCCTTTGATGCTTCCAGCCTTCATTCTTCCTGGGAAATTCATTCTTCAGCTGTGTCAGCAGAGTTGGTGCAGGAAAAAATACGGTTCCAGTTATTCTTTCCTCTTCATTTACCCCGCCCACCCCCAGGAAGGTCTAGCCCTGGTGGTGTCAGTGGAAGAAACATGAAGTGCTTCCAGTTTCTTTCTCCATCTTCCCAGCGAGTCTTGTCTGGTAAATAGCAGTGGTCAGACCAAATCCTTGATGAGAAGGTCCCATGCCTGAGACCTTGGCCCCACTGGAAAGCCTATATCTGTGATGGCACAGACCTGCTGTGGCTCAGAGTCCCCTGGTTCCTTAGCAGAGCTCTCTTCAGCCTGCCCCGGATGGTGCAGAGCACAGCCCTCCGAAAGCTGCTGGACAAGAAGAAGAAGATGACTGGGTCAAGGCAGCTGTTGAGGGCTGAGATGCAGAGCACAAGCTCATTAGCGAGGTGGAGACCTTGCTTCCAGGGCAGACTAGAAATGACCCCCACTTGTGCGAGGATGTAAGGAACGCGGACAATGTGATAGGGGGTGAAGCATACAATGAAGATGATCAGGACTATGAAGGTCTTGGCGATGGCGCTCATGCTGGTCCTCTTGTTCAACTGCTGAGCTTTCACTGAGGACACTCTGTGGAGCTTGGCAAATATCTTGCTGTAGAAGTAGAGGAAGAGCAGCAGCAGGATGAAGAAAGTGGCTACCGCGACCATGTTAAAAGCTGCTGCTGTGGTGCTTTTGCTTCTGAAGTGGAAGCATTTATGGTCACAGGGCCCTTTTCCTCTTGTCTCAAAAAAGAAAGGCAGCATGAAGGTTGCATGCACAAACCAAACCACCCCAGAGGCCATAGTGCTACAGGACACAGTGTGGATCCTAAATTTCTGCAGGGGCCAGATGATCTTTAGGTAGCGGTCAAGGCTGATCAGGCTGAGGAATGTGACACTGACATACATGTTGAGGTAGAAGAAGGCCCCCACGATGTTGCAGAACATCAGAGGCTCGTTCTTGCTTTGAAAGGCGATGCGGAAGGGCAGGCAGAAGGAGAGCAGCAGGTCAGAGAGCGCCAGGTTCCTCATGTACACGGTGATGGAGGTCCTGCGCTGTACACCGCATGAGAACACCCAGAGCGCCAGGGCGTTGCTGAGCAGCCCGATGATGAAGATGAGGGAGTACATCACAGGGAGTGTCACAGTGAGGAACTCATCTTGGATCTGAAAAAAAGGAATTGCTGAGTCTGTGCTGTGTGAGCTGGCTGGCGGGATAGGGAGTGCTCAGGGATCCCATTGTTTGGGCCACAGATCTGGAAAGAAAAATGCAGGAGACGTTGGAGTGGACATCTACAAGCTGGCTCCATGCAGGCACCATCAATTGTAGGTATTGAAGACCTCTGTGGTACTTCTGTGGTTTGCTGGTGCCCCAGGTCACTGCAAACACCACTTTGCAGTCCCCCAAACTATTATTTGAAGGCCACCAGCTTGCGTAGCACATGGAAAACTGGACTGGGACTTTGGAGCATGAGTCTGCCAGGTTCACATGCTGGCTTTTTGGCTGCCTTCTCTCCCATGGGGCTCAGGGAAGCCTCCACAGAGAATCTGCACATTCAACCCTGGTGAGTCAAACAGGCCACCATGCTCCTGCCACAGGCTGGTCTGGGCATCAGATACGCAGGCTTACCTCAGGAGCAAGGCCCCCTCCACTGGACTCTTCCCTCCAGCCCAGCTCTCTCTCATGCCCATCCCTTCTCCCCTAGTGATCCCGGAGCTTGCAAAGTGCAGGATGGTGGGACAGGGCTGCAGCTCTCGGCCAGCAGTGACAGTGCAGGCAGGTGCACTACTGGTCCCAGTGGCTATGCTGGAGCTCTGACTCCAGGTGCTACGTGCGTGTGAGTGCCTGCGTGGTTTTGGTCTCAGCCCTCTTCTCATGCCTGTACCCACAGCCACTTTTCCACCCGTGGTGCAAGGCTGCAGGGCTCCCCCACTGTTGAGGGAAGGCAGGGGGCTCCCCACACTGGGGATGCAGGCACTGCGCCTGTGGTGGTCTGGCTCTGCCCAGCCCTGCTGGGGACCCACCCCAGAAGCACTTCGCATGCCAGCAAGCTCCTGTTTCTCCTGGACAGGGATGGGAGGTCTGGATCCTTCCAGCCCCTCAGCCTTTGCTCCCCTTCTTGCTTTCCATGATGTCAAGTGACCCATAGCAGCAAAACCCTCCAACTTCCTTCCCACCTGCCACAAGTTCTCTAACAGACTTCTCTGCTCCCTTCATAAGTCCCCAGCACAGACTCCAGGGCAGAGCCAGCCTCGGGCGCTTTAGGATGGAGGCAGCAGAGCTAGCTGGATTTGCTGCTTGTGACACGCTGTGCTTTAAAAACACCACAGGTGGAATGCCTCAAATTCACAGCTCTGCCTTGCTGCACAGGGGTCAGGCCACTGGGCACCCGCCTGCTTCCAGCTGGATCCTTGCAGCATCCATGGGCACCACAGTGCCCGGAGCTGGGGAGCTGTGCAGGTCCCTGCAAGGGCAGGCACTGACCCCGGGTATGTGCACAGCCTGACTGTGGATACACACACAGAGCCACGCGGGTGTTCTGCAGGGGTGTGGGTGCCGTGTACAGCTCTGGGTGGGTGTGTGCATGTACGTACTGCACACGGCAGCGTGTCCTTCACGTGCGAGTGAGAGTCGTACAGCGATACACGCGCTTTGCGTGTGTCTGCACGCTGGTGACTGCTACAGGGCTGTGACAGTTTGCACAGCTGTGCCACAGTCCCCACACCAGCGTGCAACTCCAACCATGCTTGAGCCCATGTGTGTGGCTGATGTCCCTGCCTGTCCTGGGCTCCTTCTGCTGAGCCCATGGGCCTCCCCACCCAGCCTCAGCCCAGCTTTTCCCACCAGCCATAGCCCTAACCTGAGTTAGCTGGCCTCAGTACCCCCTGCTCCCTATTCCCCCCCCAACACGCATTCCCATGACAAAAACATCCCAGTGACTCATAGCAAGAAGAAAAGCCACCCCAGTCACCTACCTCTCTCAGCACCTCTCCTCTGCTCCTTCCCCTGCTGTGACAGTGGTTTCTGCTCTCGCGGAGGCCCCTATAAGCCCTTGGCTGGCGATTACATCTCTCACCATGACAAACATCCTCCATGGTTTCCCTGCTCCTCCCATGTGGGCTTGATGGGGTTTTCCCTTTCCGGCTCTGGAGAGGGGGTGCATTTTGCAGATGTTTGACCTGATACAGGCTCTTCAACGCACCCCATGGACCCACTTCCCCCAGCAAGCACTGACCATGGCAGCAGCTCATGAGAACGAGTCAGTTTGGAGAGAGCAGTGGTCCAGCCCAGGGTGCTGCTCTCTCCAAATCGGCTCGTTCACACCAGCATGGGTCAAGCTGCATGCTGAACGTGACACATCTTGTGAAATCACCCCATGCTGCATCATCCACTGCCTTGGAGACCAGGGGGGATGCTGGGCATTTAGGGGCAAGCTCAGGCACAGGGAGATGGGGCACAATAGTGTGCCACCACTCACATCTACCCCACAGCGTTTGGGCTACGAGTGTGGGTCTACGCTGGCAAAAGGTGGGGAGTTCTCCCAGCTCTTGCCCACGCCAAGGGGGAAGTGCTTCAGATAGAAGTCCTTGAAGCATCCACTTTCTCAGAGAGCCCAGGCCTGATCCTGCACTGGCTTCAGCCCTGCCCAAATGATATTCCCAGTGTCCCCTGCACCGGGTGTCTGGCTGGGGCAGCGTGGAGACAGAGCAGAGCTGCCAGGGCATCTCCTCCAGGCACAGGAACTGCACAGAGAGGGGACAGGCGGCTCGGCCCCCAGTGCTCATTCCAGACACTGAAAGCACAACAGCTACGTGCGTGGAGCAGATTATTCTGCAGACTCTTGCTGTGTTCCCGGATTTAGCTGGCAGAGCAGCGCGAGGTGCACCCACACAGATGCAAACAGCCCGGGCAGGCAGGGGAGGAATGGGCAGGTGATGGAGAGGCAAAGAAGCAACTGCAGACTGAGAAAGGCCAGATTTGACAGTGCATTTCTGCAGCATCAGCTGCTGGTGTCAGCCACTTTCAAACACATCCATACCGATAAGAACCCCACCACACTCGTGTCCCCCGTGTTCCTGCCCAGCCCTCCTGCAGTGCCCAGCTCCTGAAAGCACCCAGGGACAGAGTGGGAGGAGTGATCTCCAGATTCCTGTCACCCTGGGTGGGAGCCACATGGGTGTAAAGGAGAGAAGCAGTGCCAGGCTCACGGGGAGGAATGTCTCCTATTAGACTGGCTGGTACCACTGGGATAGCACGAGCCAGCCCAGTCCAGAGAAGAGGATGGCAGAGCAGGGGGTCTGCTGGGACTGGGAGCATGAAGAAGGTCTTTAGTCCTGAGGATGGGCTTGGCTTCAAGCACAGGAAGGACACAGTGACCCGTAGCTCACAGACTGTCTCGCACCAGAGCGAGACGCTGACAGCCTGTGGTCTGCGCGGCCGTTGTGAGCTGGTGTTTTGTGAGCATTGTTCCGCCGCAGCATCATCACTCACTTGGGGAATTTTTTACTCATTCTGAAGAGTCACAGAGGGACGAGCAACATAACTAATCACCCTGCCAGCTCTGCAGTGCCGCTGGTGAGCTGAGAACATCGATCAGAGCGGGTTTGCTTATAATTATGTTTGGGGGTTTTTATTATACGAATTGAACTCTGAGCATCAACATGAAATCAGGACCGAACTTGAACTTCGGTTTCAGGCATCATCACCTCTGCTGGCCTTTGGGACTAAGCTTTTCCCAATGCGCTGATGTGACACGTGTAGGAAAGTGCCCATGTCACAGCAACCACATGGCTGCTCTGAGCTTATTCGGGACAATAAGCTGAGTACCACCTGCCACCAAGCCTGTGTGATATGATATTCAGGAGTGGGGAGAGAGCAGGAGGGACGTCTGGCTGCAGAGGACCCCACAGGGCTCCCTGGCCACGTCACCTCATCTCATGGCGTGGGTGCAGTTGGATACGTGTGCCCACACCTATGGGAGTGTGAGAACAGCTCCTCTGAGCCAGCAGCCAAGGGCCTGCCCAGCCCAGGACCCTGCCCGCAGCAGTGCTGGCCGTGTGATACTCCCCTCACCCACTTACTCTTTCCTGCACCAAATACCGGTGCTGGGGATTTCCCGAGTCAGACCCGTGTATCCGCTCAGGGACCCCAACAGCTCCCTGGCCCCAGTGCTCATCTCCCACCCGTTGAGATGGCCTCAAATTCCTGCCCCCGTGCACCCTTTGGCCCAGAGTCCCGCCCACT